TGGATCAGAGGGATTGAGGGATGCCATGGATCCCTTGCTACTGCCCGCCGACAGGCTGCCCAGTGACCCCAAACTAGATGAACTTGACATTGAGGTCGTGCTGTTTGAGAGGCTGTGTGATGATGAGGATGATGATGATGAGAAGGAGGAGGAGGAGGAAGATGATGATGGTGATGATGGAATGATGGTGATGGCGAAAAAATGTTGTGCCAATAATTACTATTTTATTTGGTTCTCTAGCAATGAGCTGCTGTTCGCGAGCTCTTGTAACTTGTCCGCTATCTGCACTCTTTTCTGGCTTAGTTCAAGTCTGCAGGGTGATGATGGCGAAAATGAGTATGACAATGAGTATGACGATAAGGATGATGATGAGTATGACGATGAGTATGACGATGATGATGTTTATGGTGGTGGTAATAACAATAACGACAATGATGGTAATGATGGTGAAGTTGATGATGGTGCTGCTGCTGATAACGATGACGATAATGGTGGTAATGATAATGGCGCAAATGACGGAAAGGATGTTGATGATGAGGGTATCGGTAGATAAAAAGTCTATCGACGATAATAACTTTTCTTTGTTGACGAGTTGAGGTTGAATTTGTTGCTGCAGGTCATTTTCCAGCATTTGGATCCTCTTCATTTTTGCCGCTGATGTCTTGTTAGTTTTCAGCTCTTGCAGTAAGTCATTTTTTTCTTTTAATAGAGCCAGTCTGTCAATGTTAGCAAGTGAGTGTTGAATTAATATGTTATTACATAATGAGTTATATTTTTGTCAATCAGTTAATCAATCAATCAATTTAATCAATCGATTAATCGATCAATCATTCATTCATTCATTTAATCAGTCAGTCAGCCAATCATAGAGGTGACCTATTGAATTCTGATTGGATGAAGTTAGGAGAAAACCGGCTATCGTCATCGGCTAATTGGTTTTCGAGGTCAAGCATCTGACTTTTCAGGTGGTCATTATCCAGTTTCAACTTTGCTAAATGAGTTACTTTGCTCTGTATCT